AGTGTGAAGATACAGAGGAGCTGGACTGAGTGTCTCTACAGTGACTCTACAGCTCTGATGATGATGAAGGAGTATTAATGTAAAATTACAGATACTCTGGGGTGTGTAAATCCAGCATCCCATCTAATCCCCATCTAATTTTGTGGTGTCATAACACACCACATCGTTCATAACACCTGCTAATTGAGGGGATTAAATGAGGCCACACAATGTACATTTTCTAAGACAGTCTGGCAACGCATGACGTCACGGATTCCTTGCGTTGTGATTGGAGGGCAGCTTGTATAACTACGGGAAAAAAAGTTATACCTGACGTCATATATAGCAAAAATATTTACCGAAACAATTTATTTTTATCGTCCGGTTATTGAAATACGGGAGAGGTTGCGTTAGCCTAAGTCAATAAAAAAGATGCGCATTTTGATTCTGATTTTCATGTTCTGGTGCTGTTATAATTGCTAATTAGGCGTGTTAATTGTGCAGGCAGGGCGGAGAGAGTCTTGTTTGCGGAAGACGGGTCTTGCGGCTCGATATATAATCTGGAGTAGACACTTCCTGCTTCACACTGGCGCAGCTTCCAAGACCGACCGGACCGAACGCAAACCATGAGAACCTTTCTCCTCTTGGCGCTCCTGGGCCTGCTGGCTCTTCCCGGGTCACGCGGTGAGCTCTCTCCGGCCGGATCCGGCCAGAACTGTAGAACAACAGAAACTGTCTGCTGTCCGGACAGCCGGACTAGAGGAACTGGGTCGCTTTATCGCGGTGGTTAAGGGTCGTTACGCAGTCGGTTCTGAAAGGCAGAATTGGGGTGACCCACAGCAGGCTTGGGGGGGGAATCGCTTTTGGATCCGGTTCCGAGCATTGCACTTTCAGGAGGTCTGCTGGTCTGTGAGTCCTTCTTCTGAACACGAGCGCCAGCACGAAAGCGGTACCGTTCGCTTTCGGAACCTCCCCTGCTCGCGCAAGGGTCCCGGTCCAGACACGGCGCTCGGATATTCACCTCGGAACCGGCCGAGGTCGCGGCTCCTTCGCCCGTCAGAGCCGTCTTTCGGAAACCGACCCGGGGCGAACCTCTCGACACCAGAACTGGGCAGGAAAGTTCGGTGAACTTGTATTGGCGCAATACTGGGCGGCCGAGGCGACTTGATGATGATGATGATGATGATGAAAGGGCTTCTTGCTCGGCTCGGCTGGGGAAGGTTCCCAAGTGCGCAGGTAGAGACCGCTCTGACTTTCGCCTGGCCGGACCGGTACGTGCGGTCGGGGCGGGGACGA